TTTTTTTTTTTTTTTTTTTTTTTTTTTCTCCTAACAAGAAAAATTGGGCAGTTTACAGTCTTCTGCTAAAGAGGGAAGAAAAGCTGAAGGCATAACTGAAACAGAGATATCCTACTACCATGCACATATTGCCCATCTTCTATGTTCTATGATTAGAGGGGAAAAGGAAAATTGATAAAAAGGGACAAAGGAACAGTGCTGTTGGTGCTCCACTCTCTCATAACCATGTTGCTCCCGTTTCATGTCTTCCAGCATGAAGTAAAGGGCAAAAATGGGTGGAGAGCGCTAGTAGCACCATCCGAGAAAATTAAGATGACTATAACATAAGTCCTAATACCAAGATGATCATTTTTTTGCAAGAGGGGAGCCCAATTTAGCTCTTCCTTGTCTTGTAGGTGGCTGCTGTGGCGGCAGGTGTGGTGGTGGTGGTGTCATGGAGGAAATCAAGCAAGACGGTGCTCTTGCATCTGGGACACTTGGGGTCGTCTTCTGAGAGCATCACATACATGAGGCACCTGGGACACCCCACAAGCACCATGGATGTTGCCTCAGGGCTGCTTGAGTACCGGAGGGTGTCATCTTGGTTCATCTCGGATGACACACAGGAGCTTGGCGGGGAGGTTGGTGACACCGTTGCTGTTCGGCTGGGAGACTCCACTCTCGGATTCATCCTCGGCGGCGACAGGTTCAGCTTCAGCTCTAGCTTTGGTCCATTTCTGCGACTCATTTTCAGTATTATGTCTTGTGTATGTAACAGAATCTGATTCAAAAACAATGTCTTAGACAAGTATAAACAAACTGAATTACAAAAAGGCAGTGATGTTACCGATGGAATGACTAATGATGCCGTGTGTTACCTTACCTGAGAGCTATGGCTAGCTAGAAGAGCACAGGAAGAGGCTCTTCCCCTTCTGTATGATGGAGAAACAGGGCGACCCAGATGGGTGGCAAGGCCAAGACAGGTGACTGACGCCTTGATGGTGGGTGGTGAGGAGGAGGAGGTGGAGGGCCTGAAGCCAGCAAGAGCATTATATAGAAGGGGAAATGAAGGAAGAAAGATGGGTTTTATTTAAAGCTTAATTTAATTACGGAGGAGAGGTGGAGAGGGTGTAGGTTAGAGAGAGAGAGAGAGAGAGAGGGAATTGAAGAATTGGTAGAAGAGAGTGTAAATTGAGGGCAGGAAATGTATTAATGGCCGGAAAAAATCCCAAGAAGTATGCAGAAGAAGGAAAATTGCAGTAAATATTGCAATTACATAAGTGCAGTGAAAGCTTTCATTGCTTTAAACAATGTGGGAAGGGGGAAGAGTTGGTGTGTTTTAAGTGTCTCTGAAGAATAATACTAGTACTACCAATAAGCCTTAATGGCTCAAAAAACCCAGAATTTAAAAAAACCAACCTCAGAATTTAATATCAAACTACAACAAATTAAATGGCAACCAACAAAATGCAATTTTACAGCTAAAGCTATTTTAAATGCCCAACAGAATCCAGATAATAAAAATCAACAACACCAAAATTTAATTTCTATTACCCATATTTCATGAAGGAAACATGCCAAACCAATTCTATCTTCCTGGTTTTATTATTTTCTCTCTTTTTCGAAAAAAATTCTCTCCCCTGTTTCTTTGTTCTTTTTATTTTTTAGTTTCCTTGCTCTGTTTTGTAGGTAAAGTTCAAAAAAAAAAAAGAGTGGAGGGAGAGGGGGGGAGTAAGATAAAAATAGGTAAAGTATTTTTTTTTTTCGTTTGATGATAAAAATAGGTGAAGTATTGGAATAGAAGACAACAGATTGCAGTTAAAGCATTGACCTTACACGATTGACTAATGAATGCAATCTCAACATCCATGTGGAATTATTGAATGTGATTAAAGAAAGTTTTATTTCATGATTTGATGTACTCATTCAATTAATGACGGGTTTTAGTGGTTTAATTGATTAATTGGTTAAGTGTTTCAAATTTTACCTCAGAGCTTTTTAAGTTTGAATTTTAAATTGAGCGGAAAGAAATTTGAAAAAAAAAAAAAAAGACTCACTTTTTACTATCTTAAAACTTAGTCTGACCCTGCTGGTTTAACCTATTGAAAAGCATTCAGTTACAAAAAAAATAGGTTGTGTATAAGTTCTAACCCATTTTACAGATTAATTCGGTTAAATCCAATCAAACTCGTAAAATCTAGTTAACTCAGCAATATGGTAAATATCAAAATCATTTTTTTTTATAGATTTTTTATATTTTACCTTTTTATGTATTTTATCCTTTTGAATTGCATGTATTTGATTAAATTCAACTTTTTAAGTTGCATTTGAGGTGATTTACAGGTTGTTTTTAAGGTGAATATACCTTGAAAATAGGGTAATATCAGTATATAATAATAAAATATTAAAAAAATTGAAAAAATCAACTTTTTAATTAATTGATTGAACTAACCAATTAAATTAAACTAAACTTAATGTTAAAAATGAGTCGATCACCTAATTAAGTTTTAAAACATTAGTAACAAGTGTTATGTTTGAGCCTTATGTTTGTTAAGAGATATTTTAGTGGTTGAACTTCTTTATTAGAGGTTTTGAGTTTACATTTTAAGATGAATGAGGAGAGATTTAGGAAAGAAAAAGGCTATTCCCTATTTTATATCTTGTCATTAGCATTTGTTTTAGGCAGTCTCCATTTTTTTACGCCTTCCAGTCAGATTTGGTCTACCTCTTTATCCATTTATGATTATTCAAAAACTCGTTTAAAGACACTAATTAATCTTTATCCCTTTAGTTTACCCTTAATCATAATTAAATAGAAAAACCCTAACTCATCTCTTTTTCATCCAAATAAAAGTAAAATTGAAATAGTAGTATTTAATGTCTCTTTTTTTTTTTTTTGGTTGACTACACATTTATAGATAATGGATAGTTGTTTACACCTATTTTTATAACAAATAGAATGGTGCCACCTATCATTTAAGTTGGCAGATATTTTGTTTTTGATGAAAAATCATTTTGTTGATGTAGATTTCTCTCACATAAAGCTCGGTGGTTGTTTCCACATCATCAATAAATCTGTTTGATTGCTATGAATTTTAGGAGCATAATCAGTAGTACCAATGGGTTAGCCAATTCGTTGCAAATTTCATGCTATTGCAGATCTTCAATATGCTGTTAAGAGGTGTTTACTACTATAAATACACAAAGATGAAATCAAACAAAAAACAGCCTACTTTTCACACAATTAGTTTAGCACTATTTACGTTTCAATTTTTACAAGCAATGTCTTAGTTTAGATATAATTTTCTCAAACAACTTTCCTAGCTTAGTCTTTAACTCTACACTACTAGTAGCTTTAGCTTTAGTTTTTGTTATTTTATTTTGAATATCTCCACTAATGTATTTGACATCTTGCAATCTAATTTATTGCACTTTGTTCTGAATTCATCTTTCTACCTTCCTTTAAGTTTAGTTTTATACCTAATTGCACAGCCTTTTATTTCATTTTTACACTTACATGCCTTTATGGTAGCATCATGTTTCCTCTCTATAATTTAGTTTTCCTACCATGCACTTTCTTTTTTTTCTCTTTTCCTTTATTTTTCTTTTTAGTTTTGATCAACAAACTAATAGTAGTATTCAATTTTTTTTTTGGGTACATTTGAATGGGCTATACAAGATAGGATAGCTCTCTTATTTTCCTAAATCCCTCTCCACTCGACTCAAGATTCGAACTTGAGATCTCTAACTTAAAATCTTAAACTCTTAATCATTGAACCACCCCTTTAAGGTTGTATACAATGTTTTCAAAAATAAAAGGTGAGACAACTAATTTAAACCATCTTTATTTAGTAAATGAGACAACTAAATCAAATTGAAAACAATAATTGCTATAGTTTAATTAGATTATCACAGTAACAAAGAAAATACATTTATTACATACTCAACACAATTATCTGTTATATGCTATTTGTACTAAAAATTTTACATCTAAAAAGTACTGTATAATCCAAATTATTTTAGATCACACAATTTTTAATAGTTTTGATATTAGAGATTCTTGCTCGCATCTAATTATTCTTGTTTTATAATATGACACATTCTAAACTATAAAACAAATAACTCTTTTTATATTTAGCGCTTTCAATTCACTTTACAAATCTTCTTTCTATGCTACCTATAGGTTCTCCTAGGGTTTGGTGTTTGAGAGTGAGTCTGTAGCTATTGCGGACAATTTGTGTTGGTTTCAAGTTGTCCTCAGATGGGGTGTGGGTGTTCTGATGTTTGTTTTGGTTTACAAGGTGATCCGATGGTTGTAGAGTTGTTGGATGCGATTTTTGTGAAGGCTGTAGGCTTGATTGCAGGGATCAAGGAGTCTGTGGAGGTGAAGGGCGAATAGCTTGGTCAGGCCAACAAGGGAGAGAATTGTGCTTGAGCGGAGTTAGGGAGAAGAGATGGAGGAGAAATTGCTAGTGTCAGGGGTGGCTTTAGTTGGTAAGGGCTACGCTTTAAGATTTGAGGCGGTTGGTAAGCGAGTTGCATATGGCCCAGGACGCAAGGATGGAGGATAATGAGGGCGGGGAGGGGCGATGGGTGAATTTTTATTTTTATTTTTTCAGTTAGTTGGCCCCCTTAAAAATTTTTGGCCCCTCTAATAATTTTTTTCAAACTCCATCCGGTCTGAGTGGAGCTGGAGGCGGAGCTGTTTTAGGTAAGAGAAGACGGGGATTGGCAGCAAGGAGGGACGCTAGCAGGACACAGTTTCAAATGAGGGGTTTAAGCCTTTAAGGTATATGGATTATGATACTAGACAATTTTTTTAATATAAAATTTTTAATAATTTTTATATATTATTAAATAAATAATTATATATTATAAATTTTAATAAAGTAAAAATAATTATTAAATAATATATAAAAATTATATAAATAATTATTTCTTAATTATTTTTTTAAAGGTAAATTATTACTGTAAGCTATTACCGGGCAATGATTTTTATGTTAAAAAAATTAAAGGAATAATTATTTGAGGATGGAAAAACTACTAATAGTAAAATCCCACTTGTAAATTTGTTTTGTTTTGTCTTTTTGCATTTTTGTTTTCGTTTTTCTCTTTTTATTTTTTTTATGGTTTAATGATAGACGTGCTCTCGAAGGTCAGTTTGTGCGCATTGCCAAATTAATTTTTCCTTAACTTTGATTGAAGGTAAAACAGGAGTAGGGAATTTTGGAGGCTTAGGTGTGTAAAATGAGAACTTTCATTCATATTAGGGATCCAGCTGCCCTCGGGAGATTGGCATGCTTTGCTCGAGTCTCGGGTCTGGTATATAACCGTTTGAAATTACTGTGAAATGCTGTGATTGTAATTATAGTTGTGTTTGTAGTTATAGTTGTATCTGTGATTGTGTTAAATTATATCGTATTATAATTTATACATGTAGTTAAAAGTTATTTTAGTATTTAAATATTTATTTTTTAAAAGTATTATAAATGAAATATGATAGATTTTATTAATTATTAATTAAAAATTTTAAAATATTATAAAGATATATAATTATTAAAATATATAATATTTATTATTTTTTAATAATTTAAGTTTTTTAAATTTATTTTTATTATTAAAATAATATAAATTATGATGTAATTAAATTATATGAAATTGAATTTTAATGAGTAATTTTGTAATTATATTGAATATTAGATATTTTTTTATAAAAGTTACTATCATAAAATTTTAAAATGAGATTTTTGATTTTATATATAAAATTATTGTAAATCTACTATAATTTTTTACAATTTAAAAAAAATAATTTAAAAAAATTATCAAATATATATTTAATAGTACTATATGATTAAAATAAAAAAAATTACTATATGACTATATGAAAAAATTCTCAACCACAATTTCAATTGTACCCTAAACTCCTTTCCCAAAAAATTAACCACCAACAATAACGCTCCTTAAAAAACCATTAATTATCAAGTTTCAGAAACGGCCAACTTTTTGGTCTATTGTGTTTAATTGAAAGCTGACAACCTAACAAATGAAAGATTTATTAAATATTATTTAATAAGTTTGTTTAATTTATATTTTAAAGATATAAACTAAAAATATATTAAATATAATTTTTATTATAAATTTATATTAAATATAAAAATAAAAATATAATTTATTAATTATCTAATTAAATTTACTTACTTAACACTAATGCTAAAATTAATATTAATTTTTATATTTTTTATATATAATTATAATAAAAAATACTTTTAACCTTTGCTTTTCAAAATATAAGTTAAAAAACTCTTACTTAATTTCATCATTTTAAGAAAAGAAAAGAAAAAAAACCTCTTTTCCAAGTGGCCTCTAGATGTTTGGTAGCCACTAAACCTCCAATGAATTGTACTCTTATTAAATCCCAAAAATATTTCTCTATCTCTAAAATAAATGGTACTTTTTAACTCAAAATTTGTTTTCAACTCATTATTATTTTTTTAACAAGATAAACAATTTTTTCTATCATACTCTTATTGTTATCCCTTAATTTTAATTATTCACCATCTCACTAAAATTTTCTCTCTATCTTTGATATCTTTTATAGGGTAATATAAATAAATACATAAATTATTTTTAAATTTTTAATAGATAAAAAAAGTTCAAAAAAATACTTCTTCCGTTCATTTTTCATATTTTAATTTGATTTTTTGACTTTTAATATATAAATTTTAGATAAAAATTTAACAATTTTTATGAACAATAATTATTTTTTTTCTTTATATATGATTTTTGTTGAATTTTTTTCAATCATTGTGCATATATATTGTTAAATTTTTATTTAAAATTCATATTTTAAAAATTAAAAAATCAAATTAAGTCTATTAAAAATGAATGGAAGTAGTTGTTATTTTGAGAGGAAGGGAGTAAAATATCCTATCATTTTTTTTTAAGAAAAAAATTACGTTTTATTTTTATTTGGCTGTAAATAGTGTGGACAGGGTTTGGCTAACACCAGCGATGGATGGGGGATTGAAGCATTTGTGGCATGAGATTATACAAAGATGAGGCATATGCATCCAGACATTTGGGACCGCAATTGCAACAACTCTTAACAGAAGATAGTTTCATGTAGGCAACACCCAGTTTTTCTTTTTATTTTATTTTTTTATAATTTACAAATATAAATGTAATCAGAATTCTCCATAAGACATTAGTTAAACTAAACAGGCTTTAATCAACAATTAAAAGTCTTAATTACCAATTATTAACTATTAATTACATTTTAATATGATTCAAGAGACTAAATTTTAAGTTCAAGTTGTTTCTTTAATATATGTTTTAAAAGAAAAATCAAGGGCTTTGGCATCAACCACAAAGTACAAACATGGTTGTACACACCCATCACAACAATAATAGCAGCATTTTCAACGAAATCTGAATTAAAAATGGTTCCTTTATAATCAAGAAAAGTAAGGAAATTTAATGTTGAAGATATAAGCAATTTTATTTTCTTCAAACATGAGGAAAGTATGGATGGAATTTTGGCCTGGAAGAAATCATTTTTTATAGTGTGTTTTAATTTTGGTTATGACCTAGGGTTTAGATTGACCTTTGAGTCTAATTTATAGTTAGGAAGGTGTCAAAATCAAAAAAGGAGAAAAAAAAGGGGGAGGGGGGGTGGGTTTAGGCAGGTGTCCCTTCATTTGTTTCCATTTATGAAGCCATCGAATCCACATGGTGAATATTAATTGACTTTAGCTTTAATGTTTACATGCCATGGCTTTACTACTTCTAGTAAATCCCCTCACCGTCTCACCAAATCAAAGAAAATCTAGATTAACTAAGTCCATCCTCTTTCATGCTTTATAAGAAATAGTAGATCTACCCAA